TCAATACCAATTTTCAAGGAGTTCTTGTTGAATTTTCACAGAAATACTGGAACCTTCAAAATCAGATAGTAATTTCAAACAACGTTAGTTTCAGATGATCCCTTTTATTTAGAAGCTCTGCCTCTGTTTTGTTCAAGTCACATAGACTTACACCAACTTATCAAAAAAATTACCTAAAATATAGTTATATTTTTTAAATAACCCATAAATATGTAGTCAGCTTGGAGAGGCCTGAAGTACCCAACGTTATCTACCAACTTTCACGATCACTTCTCTGCAAATGCTGCTGCGGCCACTGGAGTCCATATGCTTCCTCTTGCTGAGGCTGTCAGTTCTTCAGTCTCAGCATTTAATTTATGTATTACCCATTCCATTGCTTCTCGGCCTTTATTAGCATTGGAGGATATCGTACTCGCCATCAGTCCTTCAAGGTAACTGCTGAGGCTAACTCCTTTCATGGTGATTATGGCTTCTTGAGTCAAAACAGTTTCTTTCTGGTTCCTCAGGATGTGGTTTGTATATAAGTCTCTCATCTACTGAAATCTTATTTGTAAATGAAATATTAGTAGCTTTAAGTTCCATTGTTTTCTCTATAGGATCAACTACAGAATGTTCTTGCACATATGTTTTCGTTCCTGCTGCACCAATAAGAGACTTCACAATGGAAGGCAGTCCCTACTCTGTGCTGAGAAGTCTGTGGCTGTGAAACTTTCCAGAGGGCTCTGTATGCCTGTCCAACACATCAACTCCAACCAAACTTGGGTTTAGAGGGTTTGGGTATTTCTGCATTGCAGCTGTTGTAACAGTTTCCCATGGGTGGTCAAAGACATGTTCCGAAGTCCAGATCTTCATGGTGCCAGCGGCCTGAGTGATGACCAGGTGGCACCAGGGAACAATGAGGCACAGAGGCTACACTGCCCCCCCCCGACCCCCAGCATACTCTCTCATGCTTATTCTTATGACAGGGCAATGGAAGATGGGCAGAGTCTGTTAGAAGAAAGGGGAGAGAAAAAATATGTTGGGAATGCAACAGATGAACAAGGAAATAACCACTACAATCTGCAGCGATTAGTAACTATTTGTTTTGTTTTGTTTTGTTTTACTGTAAATAAGATACTAGTAGGCTGAGTGTGGTGGCTCACACCTGTAATCCCAGCACTTTGGGAGGTCAAGTTGCATAGACTGACTTGAGGTCAGGAGTTTGAGATCAGCCTGGCCAACATGGTGAAACTCCATCTCTACTAAAAATACAAAAATTGGCTGGACTTGGTGGTGGTTCCTGTAATCCCAGCTACTTGGGAGCCTAAGGCAGGGGGAACCGCTTGAACCTGGGAGGCAGAGGTTGCAGTGAGCCAAGATCATCCCACTGCATTCCAGCCTGAGTGACAGAGTAAGACTGTCTTAAAAACAAAAAAGATATAATAATATTCCATCATCATAAATGTGGGCTTAATTTTAACCCATAATCTGAATGAAAATTGTCTCATCAGTCTTATAAACTTTCTCAAGTTCCTTCCTAATGGAAAGATAGCCCAGGGTTTGGTGAATTCTGCCTCATCATAAACAGAGGACTTGCTACAAGGGGTCAGGAAGTGATGCTGTTCAGAGTGCTGACTGCCATGTGCCAGTGGCGATCCCTTTGGTGGTGGTAGTGATGGTGGTGATTGGGGAAAAGGGGAATTGTTGACAGCTTTAAATAGAACTCTGGGGACCCCAAACATCCTGAGGCCTCTCCTCTCTATCAGGTCTGTATTCCACAGCCTGGATTAGGGGTTCTGAAGATCCCCAAGAGCACTCAGATGGTATTTTGACATCAACAGGTGTATTGAGATTCAGTTCTCATCCTAACCACCTGGAGTTAACATCAGACTCCACAGGTTTTGAGGGCATGGTTTCTAACAAGACTGTTCCTCCATCAGTTCCAAGGCTGCTGGCACTTCTGACCAGTGAACTACAAATCTAGCGGCTTCCCACACTACTGTCAGTTTGAGCAATTTGCTAGAATGAGTCACAAAACTCAGAAAAGTGCTGTATTTATGATTCTAATTTTATTACAAAGGGTACAAATCAGGACCAGCCAAAAGAAGACACACATAAGTGAGGTCTGGGTGGGCCCCGATTGCAGAGCTTCCATATCCTGTCCCCATGGACATCAATGTGTTCATCAGCCAGGAAGCTCCACTGAGCCTTGGTGTCCAGAGTTTTTACTGGGATTTCATTATGTAGGCATGATTGAGTGAATCATGGACCATGTCATTAAACGCAACCTCCAACTCGCCCCTTCTCTCCAGAGACTGAGCTGGCTCATAGCTCCAACCTTCTAATCACATAGTTGTTCTTTCTGAGATCATAGTCTACCCTGAGCTACCTCATCTTTTACATTCAGGTGTGATACAAGAGACCTGTGAACAACAAACAGTCCTATTACCTGGGAAATTCCAGGAACTTAGAGTCTCCTTCCCAGAAGCCAGGTACAAAGGCCAGTCAAATGCTTGATTATACAACAGATGGGTTGTCCGTACAAAGGTTTCTGGTGGTGTAATTAGAGTTGGGTAATTAGTGTCTCTGTTTTCCATTTAATGGGATGAATTAATACCAAGAAATGAAACTGATGATCGTAACGAGGACATTACCTTTGGAAAATCATAAATACTATTAACACACTGCAGTCTATCAGAGAACAGGGTGTTCCCCTATATTTCTCTTTCATGGGAACATGTGAACAGAGTGTAGCCTTCCATTTCAGCAGGCATACCGTTTGGGCACCTTGGTTTTCATAAGGGAATGTGAACTCTACCACTCTGCTACGTAGTTTCTTTCTCTCTCTCTTCTCTCTCTCTCTCTCTCTCTCACACACACACCCCTGTGGCCTGAGAATACAATGAATCACTACTAACATCACTGAGTGCTTATCATGTGCCAGGCATTGTGTTAAAAGCTTCATATACATTATGTAATTTAATTATTTAAACCACAAACCTACAAAATAAGCATTATAATCATCCCATTTTATAGATACGTGACTTTCTTAGGTTACACAGCTTAGAGGTAGAGGAACCTGGACTAAATGCCAGAATCAGACTTCCTTAACAATTGTGCTAGAGCCCATTCTTGCAGAGCCCAGCTGAAAAGCAATGAGATTTGTAGGAGATAATTTAAGAAATGTGGCATCTGTTTAGTCCACTACATAGTCTATGTGCTGTACTTAATTTGCATCACAGACCTCAAAAACTACCTGCAGTAATGTTTTAATGTTGTTGCCTGACTTTTATGAAGCTGGATGCAACAAACAGCCTGGATTCTTCTGAATTCTTAGTGAAGCTGTTGGGAAAGATATTGAAATGATGCATCAGACAATTGTGCCCTATGGCTGCCAGAGGTGGAGATTTCTTTGAGTTTCACACAAGGTACAATCTTTTGTCTCCTGAAGAACTGCTATAAATCTGCATCTGAGATATTGTTTTTATCAGCTGCTGTGTTGCCCCCAATTTTTAACATGAATTTATGCTGAAATAGAGCAATTATAGTGACTCCCATGATAAGCACATTTGCTTTTCTTTGCTTAATCCAGGTTTATCTGTTTTTATTCTCATTTTATTGAAATCCTGTTTTTGGTATGTTACTTAAACCCTCGAGTTCTTTTAGACTAGAGTAAAAACAAATATTCTAGATATTTGGCAAGTAGTATAAAATCCTATCTATGAATGGCCAAATTTTATTTTGGTAGAATACAACAAAATATACTCAACATTCAAAGTATACTGAGCTTATAGCCTTTGCGTAATCTTTATCCACTTAGTCAAATGATGTCTGGGGATCTTTGCAGAATTTCAGGATATCACGATTAATACCAATCATCAGTATCCCATAGAAGTATAGAAATGCCAGTTAAAGATTTCTGGTTGATTATGATAATAACGTTGATGATCATAAAAGTGAATATTTGGACATTGACTCATTTGAGGAAGATTAGCGAGTGCTTTCTTTGGACCAGATGAATGATGTTCATGTTCTTTCTGAGAGAATGTTGTGGGTTGAATTGTGTCTTCAAAAATTTATATGTTGAAGTTCTAACCCCCAGTGTCTCAGAAAGTGACCTTATTTGAAGATAGGGTCTTTAGAAGTAATTAAATAAAAATGAGATCATCAGGATGGACTCTAATCCATCCTTACACACCAGGGAAATTTGGACACAGACACAGAAAAAAAGGCAATCTGAAGAGACACAAGGAGAAGATGGACACGTACAAGCCAGGGAGAAAGGCCTGGAACAGATCCTGTCTTCACAGCCCTCTGAAGAAACCAGCCCTGTTGACACATTATTTTTGGACTTATAGCCTCCAGCACTGTGAGATAATGAAGTTCTATTGTTTAGACAACACAGTCTGTGGCCCTTTGTTATGGCAGCCCCAGCAAACTAATACAGGGCATGCAGACAATAAGCAAATAAACAGGATTGCAAAGAATTTATTTTTTAAAAAGATGGTGACACATGCTCTGGAGAACAAGAAGCCAGACTGAGGGAGGAAAGGGTAGGTTAGGGATCACTGGTAAGGTGACATTTCACAGGACTGGAAGAAGGGAAGGTGCAGGTCAAGCAGATAGTAAGGGAAAGGGTGTTTCAGGCAGGAAAACATTGAATGTCACAGAGCAGACAGCATGCTTGTTGTGTTCAAGAAACCACAGGAGGCCAGGTGCAGAGGTTCACACCTGTAATCCCAACACTTTGTGGGGCCGAGGCAGGAGTATTGCTCAAGCCCATGAGCTCATGACTAGCCTGGGCAACATAGCAAAATCCCATATTTACAAAAAAAATTTATTTAAAAATTAGATGGGCATAGTGGTACACACCTGTAGTCCCAGCTACTCAGAAGACTGAGATAAGGAGGGTCGCTTGAGTCCAGGAGGCAGAGGTTGCAGTGAGCTGTGATTATACCACTGCACTCCTATCTAGCTAACCGAGGGAGACCCTGTCTGGGGGAAAAAAAAAAAGAACCCAAGGAGACCAGCAAGGTTGCCATAGAGAGAGCCAGGGCAGGCTCAGTGTGGACAGGTGGGGACTAGACTTCCCAAGTGCATATAGGCTTTACAAAACTAGATTTTCCTCCAAATGAGAAGGGGGATTCTGGAGGGTTTTGAATAGAGGACAAATTAATGCTTTAAAAGCTCCTATCTAGATACTGTGAAGAGAATAAATTGAAGGGGCAAGAGAGCAAGATGGGTGCTGGGGGAGGTGAGAAGTGGTCACTGTTGAATGCTGACTTGGATGTGAGGGATGACTGCAAGGATCACATTGGGGAGGGAGCACAGAGGTAAAGACGGGATATTGATGTGAGCAGTTGGGAGGATGAAGGCATTTTGCTCAGTGGAGAAGGCAGGTGGGGAGGCAGCTGTGAGGGAGGGAAGGTGCAGGGAATCAGAAGCCTCATGTTGGACATGTTAAGTTGCAGGAACCTTTTAGGCATCCAGGTAGAGATGTCAAATGGGCAGTTGGACATAGGAGTCTGCATGGGTTGGGGTGTGTGACCGTGGGGCATGTGACCAAGGGTAGTGCCTGGAATCTTGGTGTGCCTGGATTTCAGACATGCCACACACACAGTCTTGCCCTGTTATTATTAACAATCTAGGAAGCACTTCAGGGACTCTACTGCCTACGGGGAATGAAGCTTTTCGCAGATTACTGGGCACCACAAGCTTGAAGACTCAGCCTGGATTCTAGCTCAGTCTAGGCTCTTTCTCTAACTGGGCAGGCTGATTAACTCTCCAAAAGTCATTTCCCCATTTCTGTAATGGAGCTAATGTCTTCCTTGCCATGTTACAAGGCTCATTGATTCATTTGTTCATTCAACAGTTATTTATTAAGTGTTTACTTTGTACCAGTCTTAATACTGGCACCTGAATATAAATACATGAGGCTTACAATCTAGTGGGAAAGACAGACATACAACAAGTAAACAAAAAAAGGTATAATTGAAACTGATGAGTGTGGCGAGGAGATTAAACAGGAAGTAAGAACAAGGACCAACAGGGAGGGCAGGCCTGTTTCCGCTGGGTGCTGGGCTGAATTCTAAGATGGCTGCCAAGAGCTGGCTCCCTTCACCCGCTTCCTGCCCTGAGAATCCCTTCCCCTTGAATGTGAGCAGGGCCTACAAATATGATGTGATAGTCACACTTGATTAGGTTACATTATATGATAGTCTGTCTTATTGGATTGGTGCCATATTGTTGTGAGCTGCCTTTGAAGGGAGCTGTGTGGCAAAATCTCAAGAGTAGCCTCTACGAGCTAAAAGCCAGCAAGGAAATGGGGACCTTCGTCACACAGTCAGAAGGAAACGGATTCCACCGACACCCAAGGAAACTTGGAAGTGGACCCTTGCCCCGTTGAGCCTCCAGATGAGGATGCAACCAGCTGACACCTTGACTGCAGCCTTGTGAGACCCTGAGAAGACCTAGATAACATGTGGCAGACTTCCGACCTGCAGAATTCATGAGGTCATAAATTTGTGGTGTTTTGGCCGCTGAGTTTACAGTCACTGGCTATGTACCATAGAAAATGAATATATATAGGGCGGTCCAAGAAGGTCTCTCTGAGAATATGACTTGTAAATTAAGACCTGAGGGTAATGAGTCAACAAAGGGAAGAGTGACAAGACAGAGCATTCCTGGCAAAGGACTCCGAAGCGGGAAAGAAGTGAAGGAGTTCAAGAACAGGAAAGTGGCCAGTCCAGCCAGAGCCCAGCATGTGAGGGAGGGAGACAGGAACAAGGTGAAGGTAATGTGGATAAACTTTTGGCCTTTCACAAACACAGGACATTGCTCTCTTACTCAAGTTCAAAGCCACATCTCTGAATGCAGTATCAGGTAAGTGACTATAAGAAAGGAACTCCAAAACAGAGTGGCTTAAGTAGAAGAGAAATTTGCTTTTATTCCGGGCCATGGGGCAGAGATTTAGAGGTTTAGAGCTGGTGTGTTTGGCTGCTGGCTGGATAGATGTGCAACTTTTAGCATGTGGCTTTTATTTCTGGGCCTGAGGTGGCTGCTTCAGTTGTTCCAGTTTTCCAGCTGGTGGGAGGAAAAAAGTAAGAATGGAAGTCTTTGTGCTGCTGTATTAAAACAACAACAACAAACAAAGACTGTGATTTGGAAGTCATGGTCATCCGTCATCACTTCTGGTCTCAACCCATTGGCCAGAGTCCAGTCCCGTGACCTCACCTACTGCCGTGGAGTCCCGGGTACGTGTCTCTAGCTCACCCTTGAGGATTCCTCTGTCTAAGGCTTCCCTGCTAACTTAGAGCTGTGTTTCTAAGAGTATAGCCTCTAGGGAACCATGAGCAGTCTCTGTCCCAGCCTAACTTTATTTAGCCATAAGCCTGGACATATCTTTAGCTTTCCCCCAAGGCTCCAGGATGGTAGAGCTGACATTCAAAGTGGACTGTCATTTGTCTTCTATCATCTCTCCAATGATTTCCCAAGAATAGAATAGGATGAGCAGCCACATAGTGGGTGCCAAGGCTTGTCTCTTTCATTTCCGGCCAGCCCTGGAAAAAAAAATCTCCTTACCTACTTGCAATCACTTCTCCCTGGTCAGAATGCTTCTGCCATTGGGGCTTTGTCTTACAGCCTTCATGCCCGTCAGCCCTGGGGGCAGGCACTTAATGCGTTTGGCATGCCCTGTAACTCTCCAGCATTCTGAACCTTTACTGCATGTCAGAGACATTTATTAATACTGCTGCTAATAACAGTACCTAGCAGGGAAGGCCTGGCACAAACATGGAAGAAGCAGCGTTTCCCTTTACTGTGCTTTCACTGTTCACTGGAGAGGACAGGTGGACATAAATTCAGATTTGCCTTTTCCGTTCTCTCACTCGGGTTACGGTTCCCATTACTCGAAGTTGTGCTTTGCTGGCACCCGTAGGAACATGCAGCAAATAACAGGTCTGCAGGGTGTTCTTATGCTCCATTCATGCAGCCTGAAATGGAAAAGTTCGGTTTCTGAGAAAGCTGCAGGTTCCATCTCTGAGGCCTGAGGTTGTTTTGAAATGAGGTGGCCGTAAAGGCTGAGGACAAGCTGACTCTTGCCTGCCTTCTTGCTTGCAAAGAGCAAAAAGACAAGCAGAGAAAGCAACATTAGCCACCTTTGTGTGCCTTTGGGCATCCCTATCTGTCAGCCTTTTACTTTGAAAAATGTCTCTAGAACTGTATAAATTGATATCAATTGCTAACGTCATTGAAGCCAGGTTTATGCCAAGAACTATGCAGGGAGCCTCCCATGTATTATTCCTTTTAAACTTCAATAACTCAGTTCTGTGAGTACCGGTTATTCCTTTTTCATAGAGGAGGAAACCAAGACAGGGAGAAATTCAGGCTGTATGTTCAATGTAGCACAGCTGGTGAGGGGCAGAGGCAGAACTTGAACCTGTGTCTTTGTGACCCTAGAGCCTGCAGTGGCAATCTGGACATCCTATTGCCGTTAAAATAGCGGAGAAAAGTTTGCCATCTCCAGTTGCTTTTTTCCACCACAGGCTGGCAGCTACTGGCCATTCCTACCGTGGAAAGCAAAAGGCATCCCAGCCTGGGAAACCAGCTGGATTTCATCACATCAGCTGAAGTCCCGACAGCTGACTTCAGGTCAGCTGAAGGTGTAGTCACCTGCCTCCACTTCCACCTTCCCTTCATATGCTCTGTCACCCCACCCACCGCAATCCTGACAACACCTGATGGCTGCTTTTCTACCTGGTCAGTTACTGGGTGCTGCAGGCCCCTGTTTCTCCAGGCTTCTCCACCAGTGTTTTCACTGCAGAATAGGTTCAACACAGCTTTTGTTGGCTGACCTAGGACTTGATGCAGTGGGCTGCACACTGATCTCTGAACCAGGAATTCACAAATAAGTTGTTAGGACCTGCTATGGTCTGAATGTGTTCCCTGCCTCCTCCACCCACAAATTCACACGTTGAAACTTAACTGCCAATGTGATAACATTAAGAGGTGGGGCCTCTAGGAGCTGATGAAGTCATGAAGGCTCTACCTCTCACGAATGGGATGGGTACCCTTATAAAAGGGCTCAAGGGAACTAACTAGATCCCTTTTGCCCCTCTGCCTTCTGCCATATGAGGACACAGCAACAAGGCACCATCTTAAAGCAGAGTAGCCCTTAGCAGTCACTGAATGTGTCGGTGCCTTGATCTTGGACTTCTCAGCCTCCAGGAGTGTGAGAAAATAAATCTCTGTTCTTTGTAAATGACCCGGTCTTAGATATTGTGTTGAAGCAGCAGAAATGAACTGAGCAGGACTCTACTCATTTATTGTTTGGTGGGTCTCCTGTAGCGCTGCCGTAAGAAACTGAGTGCAAAAACATGCCCTTGCAGAAGGGATGTGTTGAGAGTAATGCATCGTGTTGTGAAGGGAATCACTCCCTGTGATAGCCTGTTCGAAGTGAAGAACACCAGCCTAGGATTCAAGTGCAGCCGTCTTTTCCTGAGTGCTCACTGTGGGCTAGGCCCTGTGCCAGCCTCTGTTGCCTGCCTGATTTCATGCAAGCCTCAAAATTATTCTGCGAGGTAGGCTGCCTTATCAATATTTCACAAATGAGAAAACAGGCTAGATATGTTAAATGGCTTTCCAAAGGTCGTTTGACTTGTAAAATGGAGTCTTCAGTCTCCAATGCCAGTTGTTTTCTAACTCAGCTACTAGTTTACTTTATAATCTCAGGGGGAAAATCTCTTTTGGCCTTTTTTTCAAATCATTAAAATGAGAGGATTAGATTAGATCACTGTTTTCTAATTTGTGTTCCAAGAAACTCCTAGTTAGGTGATCATAGCTACAGGCTATGATCATAGCTACAGGCTTTTGGGTTGCAGCTTAATTTTTTTTTTTTTTTTTAGTAGAGACAAGGTCTTACTATGTTGCCCAGGTTAGTCCTGGCTTCAAGTGATCCTCCTGCCTCAGCTTCCCAAAGTACCAAAGCTTTCCAAATTACAGGAGTAAGCCACTGCCCCTGGCCAAGGGTATTCAGCAAGTTTAGTGAGCACCTATTATGTGCTGGGCATTGTTCTAACCAAGGATGATAATTGATAATAAAGTCCCTGACCTCTGAGAGGCCTTGGCAGGGTTTGAAAGAGATGAACACGCAAATAAGAAGATAATATCAATGGTAAACCCAATGAAAGAAATAGGGTGCTGTTACAGAAAATCAGGGGGTACTTTAGGGTGTTTAGGGAAAGTTTTTGAGTTAAGGCTTGAAGAAAGGAAGGAGCTAGGTGAAGAATATTTCAGGCAGAGGAAACAAGAACAAAGGTCCTGAGGCAAAACAAGGTTTAAGACAGTGGGGAAATGGAAATAAGGCTGTATCACTGACCCACAGTGACCTAGGGGAAGAGTGGACAGAGGAAAGGGGAAATCACTTAAGACCTATAAGGAGCTATGGTCAAGAGCATTAATCGTAATTATGAATAATAAATTTGCTTATCAAATTGCTAATAACTTGCTAGACCTGTATTAGGCCCTTCATTCACCTTAGGTTAGGAGTTGGGAAATAGTTATCTTGGGCAAGTTACTGAAATTTGCTAAAACTCAGTTTTCCCATCTGCTAAGTGACGATAACAATGCACCCCTTCCATGGAGATACTGAGAGGATTAAATGAATTTAGCTCCAAATCTGGCTTGGAGTTAGCTCCTGGGGAATAGTGGCCGTTCCTGGGAGGAAGGAGGAAGACAGGCACAGGACTTAGGTCTCATCTCTTGATCAGCCAATACTTTCCCAAGATGATTTGTTTTCATCATTGGCCTTTGAAGAAAGTATTGTCTATTAAAAACTGTTTTAAATCTTGCCAGATTGAAATTCCTGATCAGAATTCAAGGTTCCATCCAAGCGTACCCTTTGGAGACCCAAGTGTTTCTGGTAAACAGCCCTCACCTGTCCCCAATTCCCTCCGGCACATTCCACCCCCCACTTAGAGATACCTGACTTCTTGTCAGGCTCAGGAGGACAACAACTCCCAGATGAAGGCTTAGAAACCAAGGGCAGCAGAGAATCAGAAGTGAAGACCAACCATTTCCGAAAAGACCATGGCAGTCAGTGGGGACATTTGAGTGGATTCATAGCTAACTTCTCAGGATCTCAATGGGGATATTAACCTACAGAAGATTGTCTGCTTGGAACTTTCTGTGTCTCACTGGAAGCCCAGTTGAAGATTATATTCGGGGCAGGACTCATGGGCTTTCGTACAAGGCCTCTGGGGAGGTTATTTCTGGAGAACACTATTGGTTACTCATCAAGTAACCATTTTCTCACCCTTTCTCAGGCCAGCAGAGTTCATTGCCCGTAGGGGCAGAAAATACGGGTTCTCACTTCCACAGCCTCCCTTGCAGCGCTGACAATAGTCATGTGACCCAATGTTGGCCAATGAAACCAGAGGAGAGCTCTGCTAGAGAGCTTCTCGGCAAGATATAGTCTATGTGATAAGGGAAATAGATAAGAGGAAAAGCCACGACTTCTCCTTGCTAGCATTTTGTGTGTGAGTTGTTAGGGCAGGATGTATGGAGTCTTAGCAGTCATGTTGCAATAGTGAGGGAGAGTCTCTGAGAAGCCCCGATGATATGATGTGACTGCGTCCCAACCCACATCTCACCTCTAGTTTTAATAATCCTCACATGTGGTGGGAGGGACCCAGTGAGAGGTAATTAAATCATGGGGGCAGGTTTTTCCCATGCTGTTCTCATGATAGTGAATAAGTCTCATGAGATCTGATGGCTTTATAAAGGAGAGCTCCCTACACTGACTCTCCTGCCTGCCGCCATGTAAGATGTACCCTTGCTCCTCCTTTGCCTTCCACCATGATTGTGAGGCGTCCCCAGCCATGTGGAACTATGAGTCCATTAAACCTCTTTTTTCCCTTTATAAATTACCCAGTCTTGGTTATGTCTTTATTAGCAGCATGAGAATGGACTAATACACCTGACATGGTTGAGCCATTGAGCCACCTCTCACTGGGCTACTGCTATGTGAGAAAAAGAAATCCCTTTAATTTAAGCCCATTATCTCTGGCTACTCAGCGATGTGCAATTGGGAGCATCTTAACTGTGGTATCTCTGCTCCCCTTCATCCCTTCTCATTACTCTCCCCTTTGGAAAGAATCAGAGAGCCCTTTCCACCTGTTCAGTGATGTCTACACGTTTTTAAAAAGAAACAAAGCCTTTCATTTCCTGGGTGCTTTTAGGTTCAGTTTGCCCAGGACCCTTCCAGAGCAGCTGTGGTTTATTCCTGGGGTTATGGTGTAATTTTAAAGAGTACTCAAAATTATGTTCTTGGAGGGATGATAAATTATTTGGTCACACTATTTTCCCTTTTCAGAGAGAAAAAGCTTCAGTGTGGATGCCTCTAGGAGAGAAAGAGAGAAAACACACAGCTTTCAAATTCATAAGAAAAGAGTAAATGGCTAACCCCAGGGTTGGGGGTGGGGGTAGGCAGAACTGGAGGGAGCCCTGGGAGTAAAAGAGGTTCCCTGGAGTAGGGAGGAGGCCCAGAAAGATCAAACTTGGAGCTCCAAAGGCAAACTGCATGCATTTCCCAGCTTTTCCAGTGACCCGCCCTGCTTCTAAGAGTACGCAAAGCCTTTGTTGGTACATTTCTGATCTTTCTCTGCTGCCTTTTCACACAGTCCTGATCCACTTTTTACCAACACCCCCGGGGTGAGCAGAGCCTAAGATTTAGCCAAGAAGTCTGAAACTCTTCCCTGTGGTTTTTGTCTGAACCCAGACAACTCCCTGTTTTCTTCTGAACCCTTTCCAAGACCCCCACAGAACTGACAATGGCAATATACAAAGTGGGTAATGTCACTGTCACCGGCGCTATTTCAGTTCCTTTTTTTTCAGACCTTTCCAGACCCCTCATAACTGGAAGGTGTTTGGAGTGTACCCTGTCTCCCTCTGTTGTACCTTCCTCCTGAGGGAAGAAAAGCAGTTCACAAACCAGGCAGTTTATTCCTGCTGAACAACACATTGTTAAGTGCATACATTAGTCTTCATGAAAATTATACAGGCTTACTATCTCTGAGAAAATCTGGCTGCCCTGTAAGCAGAGTAGAATGATGAGCAACATGCCTGCAGCCCTAATAGCTGTCCCTGAGGAGTTGAATCCAGGAACGGAAGGAGCCCTTGTGCTCACAGAGGCCGCACCGGGCATCAGGCCTCAGTTCTAGCCAATCTGCTGGGACTAGAGCTAGGCGGGGGGCCTTGAAAGGCAAGACCCTGCTTCTTGCACAGAGACATGCTTCTTTCTTCTTGCCCTCTGTGCCTGATCATTCAGGTGACTATTAGGGCTTGTGCAGCAGAACAAAGCAGAAGTGACTGAGGGGGATGTGGGTCCCAGGGAACACTTGGCTGGAGCTGGGGAGAGACTGGGCTGGAATCAATGCCTAGAATCCTCATCATTCATAATCTGGATCTGTGGGAAACTGGTAGGCTCCTTGGAGGAGGGACTTCAATGCTAAAAGAGAAAAGTCTTTTAACTCATTTAGTAATAAAGATCTGAGTCAAAGGCTACAAGAGTGAACAAAGCACAATTGTCCCTAGATTGTAAATTTCAGTTTACTAGGAATTTCACATAAGATAACAGGTAGTTATAAAGGAGTATTGATGTCATTGGTTAAAAAAAAATAATATTTAAAAATGACCCAGCAAGATGTCTGTGAGTCCTTTTGTGTCAGTCTAAATGGGCCAGCCCAAGGGTCACTATCACAACTTCTTATGATCTAGACCCTGAAAAATTAGAACTTAATTTGTAGGAAATTGATAAGTTGCAGATGATTTTTGTCTGGCAGAGATGTAAATGATTTATATCCATTGGAATAAACTGTTCCAAAGGGTTATAATTGTGTTGCTGCTAGGATGTTATTCAGTTTTGCACCTAAGTCAGCAGTCTTCCTTCAGCATCCTTGCCTTCATTGACTATTCTGTACCTGCTCAGCTTCTCATAGGTTCCTTTGATCCAGCTTTATCATCCTGCTGGTTCTCTCATGAATGAGTTAACTAAATCTTTGGCATAGACTTTGATGTATTTGCACGAGAGTCACACCTTTAACTTTTTGGAAATTATCATCTGACACCTTAGAGGTAAGACCACCTTAGTGCTAAGGGGTAAAAGACAAGAAACATGAAATCCAGTCTTGGGGGTTTAGGGAAGATTTCTCAGAGAGGGCATTTAAAGTTAGAGATGAAGGATAAAGGAGTTAGCTAGGCAAGGATGGAAGCAGGGAAGTGTACTAGGTGGGAGATTAGTTTACGCAAAGGCCAGAGATGAGACAGCTGCATTAACACTAGAAGCCCAAGAAGGTAATTGGTGAGCACCAGGGCTGGAGAGGTAAGGAACTGTCAGACTGTAATGGACCTCAGTGCTATGCCAAGGATCTTGGTCTTTATACAGAGGGCACTGTAGGTCATTAACAAGTTTTATAATAGGTGCAAAATGTGGTTGGATTTGGCTCCTGGGTTCACTGTCTCATAGCCAGGTGGGAATCACATTTATTGTAGACTAATTGTAGCCTGCTGATATTGCTTCTAAAATTTCTATGTAATTCTCGTTCCTTCTAGGTTACTCTACATTAAAAGACATATTGATGGATAAATTTATGGAACAATATACATTAGCTGGAATGCCCAACAATGAATATTTATCATTTATAAGGTTCCCCTTTTCTAACCTTGTCAAAAATATAGAAAAACCAGGAGTTCAAAAAAAGTGCAAGGCTGACATATTTTAAAGTGAAATTCACAGCAATGGGCAAATCAGAGCTGCAGGGGAGACTCTAGAGACTAGCTATTAGATAAAATTGCTTTCAGAAAGGTTGCTGCTTCTTTCAAGTTTCCTTAGCCAGATGTTTCCATTTAAGCAATAAATCGTAAAACATTTTTGCATGTTTGGCACAAGGGATCATTTATTCGGTTATGATGTAGCCTGCAGAGGACTTTTCAGCATTGATAGCACTTTTGTTTCTTGCCTCACTTAATTTTCATAAAAGCCTTTAAGGCAGGGAGGATGTCTGCTGCCATGCCCATTTTACAGATGGTGAAGCCAAGGTCCAGAAAAGGTCAGTGATTTGCTCAGTCACCACTGCAAATTAGTCAGAGCCTGGAAAAGGAAGATCTTGTCACCATAGCCTTGTCTGATACTCCCATGGAAAATTTTACCTAGTGGGTGTTTAATAAATGCAATAAAAGAACAATTCTGTTCTTAATATGTATCAAATTATATAATTATACACCTGTACATTTATTGTTGATTAAGGTTGCTAAATTTTAAGCTTCATTAGGGCAGTTTTCAATTTTCTGTTGCTGTACGGACAAACAACCCTAAAACTTAGTGGCTCAAAACCAACAATTTATTAGTTTTCATGATCCTATGAGCCACAAATTTGGGCATGGCTGAGCTTGGTGATTCTTCGGTTCCACATGGTGTTAGCAAGGGTCACTCAACTACATTATGCTAGTGGTTGGGTTGGACTGCAAGATGGCTACTTTTATGTGTCAACTTGGCTGTACCATGGTGCCCAGATATTTTGTCACACATTTTCCTGATGTTTCCGTGAGGGTGCTTTTGGACATGATAAACATTTAAATTAGTAGACTTTGAATAAAGCAGATTGCTTTCTATTAGATGGGTAGGCCTTTTCCAGTTGGTTGAAGGCCTAAATCTAATACAAGACTGACTTTATCAGAACAAGAAGGAATTCTCCAGTACATCGCCTTTGGATTTGAACTACAATATCTGTTCTTCCCTGGGTCTCAAGCCTGCCAGCCCATCCTGCAGATTTTAGACTTACTAATCTCTATAATTGCATGAACTAATTCTTTAAACTTCTCCGTCTCTCTGTATATATGTATATTTATATGACCACTCCTTCTTTGCATGGCTGGCTTGGGCTTCTTTGCAACATGGTGGCCTCAGAGTAGTCAAACTAATTACATGGCATCTGGAATGTAAGAAAAGTGAAAGCTGCCAGTCCTTTTAAACCTTGGACTTTAAATCTTAGAATATCCCTTCTAATGTAATCTATTCATCAAAGCAGGTCACATGCCAGCTCAGATTCAAGGTGAGGGTAAATAGAGTCTACCTCTTAATGAGAGGATTGACAGAGCCACATTACAAAAGACCTGAGGGATGGAAGATATTGTTGCAACCAGTTTTTAAAACAATCTGCCATAGGCAGGGACCAAGCTCTTAAAGTTGTTGGGAATATTAAGTGCAACAATATATACAAAGAGCTGAGCACAGCAAACATTCCTTAAAAACTGTATGTATGTATTTGTGGATAGATGGATGGTGATAGAGTTTGGATATTTGTCCCCTCCCAAATCTCATGTTGAATTGTAATCCCCAGTACTGGAGGTGGGGCCTGGTAGGAGGTGTCTGGATCATGGGGGCGAATCCATCATGGCTTTGTGCTGTCTTCCTAATAATGAGTTCTCATGAGATCTGGTCATTTAAAAGCATGTGGCATTTCTGTATCCAGTCTGTCTCTCGCTCTTTCTCTCTTGCTCCTGCTTTTGCCATGTGATATGTTGGCTCCTTCTTCACCTTCCCTACTTGTAAGCTTCCCAAGGCCTCTCTAGAAGCTGAGCAGATGCCCACATCATGCTTCCTGTAAAGCCTGCAGAGGCGTAATTGGCCTAAAACCCCAATTAAATCTCTTTTTTAAAAAATAAACTACTCAGCCTCAAGTATTTCTTTATAGAAATGCGAGAATGACCTAATGCAGATGGAAAACATGCCCAGGGTGTGTGATTGTGACTCATAGACTCACAGGTGACCCCAATTGTCACTATACCTCATGCTTACCCATAGATAGTCCTTTGAGAAACAAATTAAAAAAGCACCTTTTTCTAATTTGCACAGTCATGATACAGATGTGCAGCAAGCCCTGGTTGGTAGGCTACGTGGAAGGGTTAACCTTGTACAGAAAGTAGAAAATGATGTTGGCAATTAGAAGCTGATCTTCAGAGGGCTTACCCTCAAGAAGAGACATTTATTGTTAAATCAATCCAGAGCTATCAGGATTTTTTTCTCCCTTTCAATCTCACTGCCAGTGCATCCCTGGAATTCCTGTGTAGTACCCATTTATCCAAATCTGTGCTAGAATGAGTCTCAACTTTCATTATCTATCATAAATACTTCTTGATGGGCTTGGGATGTCAGAACTAGTGTCTATTTTGTTTCTAAAAATCTAAGCCTGTGAAACTTTCTATTCTTCATCAGGAACTGGGGTTTTTTCAGTGGTTAAGATGTCCCTCATAAAAACAGGTGGCTCAAATTTCTAGTGCTGTTCTTCTATAAACAAGAGCTAATATCTAGTGAGGACTTGGACTGTGTCAGGCACGGGTTATACAAATTACCCATTAAATCATCACAACAACCCTATGAGGTATAGAATACTATTATTGTCATTTTCCAGAGGAAGAAACAGAGGCACAGAAAAGTTAATATGTTGGTTTGCTGTACCTATCAACCCATCACCTAGATATTAAGCCCAGCGTGCGTTAGCTATTTTTTCTAATGCTCTCCCTCCCCAACCCCATCCCCCAACGGGCCCCAGTGTGTGTTGTTCTCCTCCCTGTGTTCATGTGTTCTCATTGTTCACTCCCAGTTATAAGTGAGAACATGTGGTGTTTGGTTTTCTGTTCCTGCATTTGTTTGCTGAGGATAATGGCTTCCAGCTTCATCCATGTCCCTGCAAAGGACATGATCTCATCATTTTTTATGACTACATAGTATTCCATGCTGTGTATGTGTCACATTTTCTTTATCCAGTCTGTTGTTGATGGGCATTGGGGTTGATTCTATATCTTTGCTATCATGAATAGTGCTGTGATGAACATATGCCTGCATGTATCTTTGTAATAGAATAATTTATATTCCTTTGGGTATATACTATGTTTAAGTCAAAGAAATGAAAACCCTGAATTTAAAAGAAAAAAAGGCTTTAATTGTTGAACTTGCAAAAAAACCTTAGACCTCTACAATTATTCCAGGAGGAACCAGGGTCCCCTAGCAGTGGATCTTCCGAAGAGAACATAGTAGTCAGCATCCAACTTGGACATTCAAAGGAGAGTGACAGACAGGCAGCACTTCCCGGAGTCCAGAATTAGGTCAAATCAAGGAACTACCCCTAATGCCAGGATTTCAGAATTACTATGGGCAAGGACTTCTTGTTTTTTGGTTCCCTTGACTGAATGGGAGTTTTAGTTTTTGATATCCTGTTTCTTCTCCATCAGTGTGTAGGGGGCGAGATGGGCAGATAACTTGTCTTCTAGTTCACAGGTCACCAGATCACAGGGAACCAATTTGGACCCAGTGGCAAGGACTGTACAACATCCCTGAGATCCTGGATTTGAGGTGGTTCTAGCATCTGCATAGTCTTTTTAGGTTGTCTCACTTGGGATGACTGTTCTATATGAGGGGTAAGGAGTGAAGTGAATGTTTGGTGAACAGATGGGTAAATTGTGGCAGACAGTGACAATGCTATGTGATCAGCAAACCTGATTTCCTTTTCTTCCTGGTCACTCAGTGAGCCAACACTTCCCGGTTTTCTTTGTACTTTGGTGGTGCCATGTGACTGAGGTCTGGCCAAGAGAATGTGTGTGAGTAATGAAGACAGGTGCAATAAAGAGGCCCCAGAGGTGGGGCTGAGCAGACATTTGGGTAAACAGGAGAGACAACTGGCAGAATGAGGAAAAGTCATCTGCTCCCACAGACTTTGACCAGT